TTACAGAATATCATTGAAATATTACAGAATATCATTGAAATATTACAGAATATCATTGATATTTTACAGAATATCATTGAAATTTTACAGAATATCATTGATATTTTACAGAATATCATTGAAATATTACAGAATATCATTGAAATATTACAGAATATCATTGATATTTTACAGAATATCATTGAAATATTACAGAATATCATTGAAATATTACAGAATATCATTGATATTTTACAGAATATCATTGAAATATTACAGAATATCATTGAAATATTACAGAAATTTCATCATTGAAATTTTACAGAATATCACTGAAATTTTACAGAATATCATTGAAATTTTACAGAATATCATTAAAATATTACAGAATATCATTGAAATATTACAGAAATTTCAATTATTACAGAATATCATTGAAATATTACAGAATATCATTGAAATTTTACAGAATATCATTAAAATATTACAGAATATCATTGAAATATTACAGAAATTTCAATGATTACAGAATATCATTGAAATATTACAGAATATCATTGATATTTTACAGAAAATCATTGAAATTTTACAGAATATCATTGAAATTTTACAGAATATCATTGAAATTTTACAGAATATCATTGAAATTTTCAGAATATCATTGAAATATTACAGAATATCATTGAAATATTACAGAAATTTCATCATTGAAATTTTACAGAATATCACTGAAATTTTACAGAATATCATTGTAATTTTACAGAATATCATTAAAATATTACAGAATATCATTGAAATATTACAGAAATTTCAATGATTACAGAATATCATTGAAATATTACAGAATATCATTGATATTTTACAGAATATGATTGAAATTTTACAGAATATGATTGAAATTTTACAGAATATCATTGAAATATTACAGAATATCATTGAAATTTTACAGAATATCATTGAAATTTTCAGAATATCATTGAAATATTACAGAATATCATTGAAATATTACAGAATATCATTGAAATATTACAGAAATTTCATCATTGAAATTTTACAGAATATCACTGAAATTTTACAGAATATCATTGAAATTTTACAGAATAGCATTAAAATATTACAGAATATCATTGAAATATTACAGAAATTTCAATGATTACAGAATATCATTGAAATATTACAGAATATCATTGATATTTTACAGAATATCATGAAAT